GAATAATATTCTAATATATATATTAGATATTATTATTATTATTTTATATATATATATATATATATATATATATATATATATATATATATTATTATTATTATTATTACTATTATTATTATATTATTATTATTATTATATATATATATATATATATATTAGATATTCATTCGAGAAGTGGTAATGTCGATGCCCGAATAAAATACAATTTTCTACATAGCCCACACTCACAAACAACACGGCAATTTCCTTATATTCCTAGTTTCGTTGTAGATTGCAGATCAAAATTTGTATTAAACATTTTGGAATTGTTTCATATAGTTTTTTAATCTTTCTTGCCGATAAATTGTTCCAATCCTCAATAATTCTTGACTTTAATTCTCTAAAACTCCGAGTTTGAGAATTGTTTTGTAACTAATTACTACATTAAATGTGCAGTCCCTTTAAGAGAATATGAATGCAAGTCTCAGCTTTGTTTTCAAATTTTTTATAGTAAAAATCGTATAAAATTGCGAAATTGTTCGTTACTTTCGAAACTCCTTCTCGTACAGTAGAATATTGATTACTGACCGTCCCAGTTAACAAGTACTGGGATGGTTGAATTAACAAAATTTTGTAGATTCATAAAGTAGAAACCATTAACTGAAATGTAGCTTACGGGTTTTCGAAAATTTTCATAATTGTAGAAATGATCGTCGTTTCAAGTCGTTGGCGAATACGCTGGACTGCGTGGTCGAGAATCCCACAGGGTAAAAAGTATAAATCGAATATCGCGCCGAGTGCTTCAGATGCAACACCCAAGCATACGGATGCGCGAAAAGAATAAGTCTGCAAGCATGGTAAAGTGGGACGAGCTAAATTGGTCGTCGGTGTGACTTGTTTCGCTTGCAGTTTTCTCTGTTTTCTTCGTGATGGCAGCACTATTTTGTGCCAACCAATTCGTGAAGAAGCAGTGTTGTCTCTACCTACTCTAAGCCGGTTGCCTCCGCATCGGCTTACTGTGTCGAGACATTACTGTAGTATTGCATCATTCATATATTGATATGTTTTCATCAAATTGTGACATATAGTGGTCAGTGTTTGTTACCTGTGACAAATTTTTGTGATCTGTTTGTGTCATAAAGTTGTGAAAACTACTTCTTCGAGCGGAGGAACTTCTGTGATACAATTTGTGAAGAATAGTTCAAGTGAGTGAAAGGAAAATAGTATTGTTCACGGTCGTGGTTACCTTAACCTGTGATGATTGCATTCGAGGTGACTAGTATTGCCACATTAATATATACCAAATAATTTAAAAGAATTTCTTCTTTAATTGTTGTACTCTTATAATTTATTTCAAAATGTTTATTCTACAAAAGAAGGTTTATGTCATAATAAGATTTGTATGATGTAGGTGGTCTTATCACAATAGTTATTGTTTCTGGAGAAATAAAGATGCCATGCTGGTATTACGAGAAGAAGGAGCTAAGAAATACTCCGTCTATTCAGGATGGAATCGATTATGAGACTGAATGTAGATATCGAAAAGAGGGAGCAAGATTTATCATCGACACTGGAACAAAAATGGACTTGGGTTATAATACTATGGCCACTGGTGTTGTTTATTTTCATCGATTTTATATGTTTCATTCGTTCAAGAACTTTCCAAGATATGTAAGTAACTCCTGTTATTTTTAGTCATGTGATTAAGTAGATCAATTATGTTGAATTGGTGACCTGCAAGACATTTCTTTCTCTTTGCTGCTATATTGAACATCTCCCTTCATGTATATTATAATCTGAAAAATATCACATTTATATAAATGTAGTGATGATTGGAAAAGAAGGAGTTGGTCTACTGCCAATGGTCAGATTTTAATAGATTAATATAAGAATATCTCGTAGGTCATAGTTTAACCATGTGTAAAGTAAAGAATTGTATCTTTACTTCTAATGTTTTTTAGGTGACTGCTTGCTGCTGCTTATTTCTTGCTGGGAAAGTAGAAGAAACACCAAAAAAGTGTAAAGATATCATAAAGACTGCTAAAACTTTGTTGACAGACCAAAAATTCATGACATTTGGAGAAGATCCTAAAGTCAGTTTTTTTTCTTTAATTAATTATTTTTCTAGTTATTTTGCAAATGGTATGCAACAATTGATATATATTATTCTTTTGTAGGAAGAAGTCATGACATTGGAAAGGATTTTATTACAAACCATTAAATTTGACCTCCAAGTTGAACATCCATATAGCTACTTATTGAAATATGCCAAATGCCTTAGAGGTAATCAGTGCAACTTCTTCAATTCTACAGGATATTTCAAACTAAATTCCACAAATTGTTTTTAAGAATACACTTTGTTTGAACCACTTTGTATAAAGCTAGGGGTAAAGCAGCATACTCAAAATTTAAATGTTACAGGTGACAGAAATAAGTTACAAAAAATGGTCCAAATGGCTTGGACGTTTGTAAACGATAGGTAAAAATTAAATGCATATTATGTTCAAATTTGTTAAAACTAGTACATTGAGATTTCTCTTTCTTATAGTTTATGTACCACATTGTCTTTGCAATGGGAACCAGAAATAATAGCTGTAGCCCTCATGTATTTAGCGGGAAAGCTCAGTAAGTTTGAAGTTGTAGATTGGAATGGAAGGCAACCGAAACATTTACGATGGTGGGACATGTTTGTTGAAGATGTTACTATGGATCTTTTAGAAGGTACTCAAATTTATATTTTTTATGTACTTAAATTTATGTAATCCTGAGTATGTTTACACATATATATTTGTTTTGTTTATAGATATATGCCATCAAGTATTAGATTTGTATTCACAAGCCAATAACACGAAGCCACCAGATTCACCACCAATGACACCATCTAATGAACCATGTAGAGATAGAGCTATAGTGCCACCTCCTACTGATTCAGCATCTACTACTCCAAATGGTATGCATAGTTCATATTCATAAAAAACTGTTTATTTCTTAATAGATGGCATCTAAAATTTTTGCAAACCAAGACCTATTTTTTAATGTATTAATATTTTGTTACACTTACACCAGGGAAGTCTGCTAAAGTTGAAGTACCTGCAGTCTCCGCGAACGGATGTCCAACAACAGATGCTACGGAAACAATGAAACCAATGGACGTTCCGCCGCATTTTCCAACGTATCCAGCTAATTTTGCGCCGAATAATACAAACTATCCGCCAGCGTTTCCTCCAGCAAATGTTTCAATACCTCCACCCCCTGTGAACGCTATGAATCATATTGTTCCTCCTATGCACCATATTGGATCATCTGGTCCCATTAGGCCTGCACCACCAGCTCCTACTACAACGCAACCACCGTTCCAACCCTATCCTTATCCTACAAATGCATCATATTTCCCTCCTAGTAATCCTGTACCACAAACGCCTACACCGCGAACATACTATCCCCCACAGCCTTAACACATGGAACATTGTACCAAAAATATAATTTTTACCGATGTAAGTGTTACTATTACGATTAAAATTAGTATATCGAAGGAGTACTGATCGAAGCCTTGTAAATATTGTAAATATGTAAGGTTTGCTATCAACATTAGTATTTCAATAAAACATTTATATCATTAACGTCTGGTTTACATATAGAGATTTCCTTTATTAAAGAAGCCCTTTCCAGCAAATGAAACATCGTTGATTGTACAATCCATAGTTGTAAATAATTTTATAAGAGGCTCTGCCGACACTGAGTCTAACACAAAATTGTCTGTATATAAAATATACAAAACTGACGGTAGGTCCATAAATTCTGCGTATGATAAAACTGAGTAAAGAAATACAATATCATTAAAAATTGCCTAAAAATCTACGTTAAAAATCTATGTTAATTGACAACTCACCTCCTGCTGTAACTCCGAATATAATGTTTGGTTGCTCCAAAAGAGGCTCTTTCAAACTACAAACACTCTGCCCATTCTTTGAAACTAACATTCTCAAAAAGGCGGGTACAACTGGTCTGTCTTTACATTTAAAGTGTGAAATGTGACGAGACGTTATACTAATAGTGCTTTTTGTGTTTAAAAAAATTTCAGACATCTAACAAAGTTATAAAAATCAATAGTAGAGAATAGTTATATGAATATTACAATTAACTGAATATGTACCTTATCGACCAATTTGCCGGAGAATTTCACATCAAATCGTGGCGACACATCACATAAATATATTCCATTATTAACTTGATAAATTATGCAGATTTTTGTTTTGTTCTTATCTTCCACAAGGCATGCTTCTTCTGTACTTTGACACAAACATTCTCTAGAAAAATCTATAATTACATTGTAAATTAGAATTCGTTCTTGTACTTATATACAGTTATTGAATCAGAATTGACGTTATAATAAGTACTTTGGTAGTACTCGAATAGTAATTTTAGGCTATCGTAAACATTTATATCACAACTATGTACGTCATTACCGGCAAACGTAAAAGTATATTTACCAATTAACATTTCTCCTTCAACAACAATTAATGTGTCAATTTGAGCCGGTTTTTCTTGCAACCATCGAACAGAAAATTCGCTAAAAAATATTTCACCAAATGTTATTTGTAATCTAAAATATATTCACATTGAAGAGGTTATAAACTTGATATATTTAACTTACGGTTCATTAATCGCAATTTCATTTGATTCATTTTCATCTTCTTCGTCCCAAAACGCTCGAGAAACTGGAAACACCACTTCACCAAAAAAACTCACCATTTTTATTAATAAAATTAACAACAATTACTGTAAAATGAAATCGAGTTACATAGCTCGTACTGCTTTGTCATGCCGCTTCATTACACGACAGTGCAAGTGTATACATTACAAATGATAGAATGGATGACGATGACGATCAAAGTTCAAGAACAGAAGAGGGCTCTGTGATCACTTCTCAAATTTGTATTTTAAAAAATTAGATATTTCTTGGATATTACATTCAGCAAAACAGGGTATAAAGAAGAAAACATAAATACTTTCTTAGACATAACTGCTTCATTTTATTATTCATTCTTGTCAAACATTACATATTTCTTTTCAACAGAATTATTTAGTTTGTAACCATGCAAATACTAGAAAAATTATTTATTTATCACTTGTCAATTATACATATCTGTATAAAAGTATAAAATTCTTATGTAATGTCTTTATCATAGAAATATACTTTATGGTACATATAGACTCTGTTAACAAGTATGTATCTTGTTTCATACTTGGATCTAA